GCGGTAACAGACAGACAGACAGACAGACAGACAGACAAAAATAATGAAAAAATAATAATGTCTATTTCAATTAGATTTTCCAAAAAATATTTAATGTACAGATTCGACTCTGTTAGAGTTTTATTATATGTATAGATATGTAAATTATTATATATAATGTTGGCTTAAAAATCAGCAGAACCAAAACTGAATATATGTTCTGCGATTTTGGCGGTCTCTCCAGTCCTCAAACCATTTCTCTGGATAAAAGAGCGATAACAGTCTGCTCCGACTTCAAGTACCTTGGCTCCCTCTTTCAAAGCGATGGCGAAATAAACCGGACTGTACAGCATCGAATCAATGCAGGGTGGATGAAGTGGCGGCAGGTAACGGGAGCAATTTGCGACCCCAAGTTCCCTATGAAATTAAAGGGACAAATATATAAGACGATCATCAGACCTGCCGTCCTATACGGATCTGAAAGTTGGCCCACAAAGAGAACGGATGAAAGACGCATACATGTAGCTGAAATGCGAATGTTGAGATGGATGTGTGGTGTGACTAGAATGGATAAGGTGAGGAATGAATACATTAGAGGGAGCCTGAAAGTTGCGCCAGTGGATGAAAAGTTGAGAAGCAATAGGTTATCGTGGTATGGACATGTGATGCGAAGGGAAGAGCAAAGTGTGGTGAAAAGAGTTTTGTGTATGGAAGTTAACGGGGACAAGAGAAGAGGACGACCAAAGAAAAGATGGATGGACTGTGTAGAAGAAGATATGATTAGAAAGGGAGTAAGCAGTGAAATGACGAATAATAGAGTAGAATGGAAGAATAAAACATATTGCGCCGACCCCAAATAAAAATTGGGACAAGGGCAGGAAGAAGAAAGAAGAGATATATAAATTATAGATTCCTTATAAATACTCTTTAATCTTTATAGGTCAATTATATAATCGCATAGATAGCGTTTTTTACTTTTGTATGCACCGCATATGATTCGTATTTAAATACCTATTTAAATTGCTACTATAATAGTAGGGGAGCCCAAGAGGGGATTTTCTGTAGTTACTTGAGCGCGGCAGATTAACATAAAAGAGGTTACCTTGCACTCTATTGAGTACTTTCACCATAATATAAGTCTTCTATATAAAGGGGCGCGTCTAGGGAAGCCGATTAAAATATTTAAAAAATGTTTTGATAAGGTAGAAATACTTGAAACCGTCAGATTAAGGTGTGGTAGGGTAGTCACATCCTGAAAAGTGTTCAATTCAATAATCTGCCGATTTGCACAAGCCGAAGAGGCAAAAATCGACTATAAAGTTTATGATGATTATATATAATAATCTGATCTGTGACGAGCAACACCTGGCCGGAGAACTGCAACATGTCAAGCAAGTTCTGCGTGACAACAAGCTGCAAGTGCCGCGCCTGCGTCACAGTGACCGAGTGAAACCAGCCACAGTCGAGCGCGTCCCTGCAGTCTTGCCATACATGAAAGGAGTCACTGACAAGATTGGCTACATTCTAAAGCGAGCTTCAATTAAAACTTACTTCAAGCCGCCAAAGAAAATTAGTCAGTTCTTACCACCTGTCAAGTGCCACATCCCTCTACAAGATGCAGGAGTTTACAAGCTTGATTGTGATTGTGGGCTCTCTTACATTGGACAAACAAAGCGATCCATTAGAACCCGGGTCAAAGAACACATAGCTGATGTGAAGCACCGTCGCAATACAACATCTGCTGTCTGCAAACATAGCCAGGACCGCCCAAGCCATTATATTCGTTTCGATAGACCTCAAATCCTGGCGAAAGAAAACCGATATCGCCCTAGAATGATTCGAGAAGCCATAGAAATTAAAAAACATCCAAATTTCAATAGGGAAGATGGCTGGGTACTACCATCGTCATGGGATCCTGTCATTAATATAATAAAATCAAATAATAAATATAAACATAACAGACAGGCAGATGTAGTAAGTTCATACTGTGTAGATCAAAATGACAGCTTATCAGATTAATATTTTTCATTTTTCATTTGTAAAAGTATATATTAATAGTGTTGCTTAGTAAGTTGTTTTTAAATAATAGCAAACTAAATTAAAATGATTATCCTTAATTAATTTTAACTTTTTTAAATTACACATATAACAATTATATGGCTTTAATAATTAATACTATATTTGTATATTTTTATTTATGGTTATAAATATAATAATGGCAACACTAAATATAGATTACTAATTAATATTTTTAAAATTGTAATAATTATAAATATAATAATAACAAAAATTAAATAAATAATTTTCCATATTCAATTATAATTAAAATTATAAAAATGTTTAAAGTTAAAAAATATTGTAATGTAATTGGTGCAATTTTCATTTTGTTAATGTGGGTAGGCTGTCTGTAACAACTATATCTTTAAGACATATAACACCTCAGTCTCTCCCGTGACCATGGATGCTGTAAAGCATTCGAAACGTCGGGAACCAAAAATCAAAATAAATCCGCGAAATAATCCGAAAAGATAGTTTTATCTATCAAATATTAATAATGTCAAACATTCGCGTAAATCTAAGAAAGTATTATATAAATTAAGAGTTAAGATTGAAGGATTATTTTATTATAGACTAGCGGCTCACCCTCGATACGCTCGGGTTTGCCTCTAGACAAACAAAAACAAATCCATCCCACGGAAACTGTACATTTTTCCGGGATAAAAAGTAGCCTATTTGTTATTGTAATGTATGAACTATATTATTGTAAAGTTTCATTAAAATCTAATCAATAGTTTTTGTGTACTAAGCTGTATAAATTACTATAGTTTTAACTATCCAACGGGTAATTTTCCGGGATGAAAAGTATCTCAGATGTTGACCGGGGATATAAGGTACCAGCATGCAAAATTTCATTTAAATCGGTCCAACACTTTCTGACATTAGCCCGTACAAACAGACAGAGAAACAAAAATTAGAAAAAATCTGATCTTGTTCTATTTCTCTTCTTACATGCCCCTGACTCGGTTTTTACTTTGTAGCATTTTTTTCTATGTACAGACATTCGACCTCTACATTTTTATTTTAGGTAGTATAGATTAAAGAGGGTCTGGAATATACTCTTTGCATTTTTTGAGAAAATTTACCATAGTAATATATATTTTTTTACATCATCAAAAAGTAGAGATTTCAACGAAAAAAAAACCCATCGTCTTTTTAAAAAAGCAAATATTTTGATGCAAGAATTTTCAATTGAAAGTTGAGGTGCTTTTTCGATATTAAGTCAAAATAAGGTGAAAAAATAAATATTTTAAATCAAAAAATTACAGTATGTTTGGGACATATAAAGATAAATTATGTTATGTGAAGAAAGTGTAAATACAAAAGTTGTAAATCTTTTTATTACCTACAACTTTGCCATTTAACTTTTTTCCATAGGACTTGTAGTTTTGCCGGAAATCGAGATAAACCGTTTTTACCCTTAAATACTCACCCCCTCCGACTTCCCGACCTTAGTTCGCCCGTAAATTATTTTTCTTTCAATTTTGTTATATTCTCTCCTTTTTCCAATGGGTTTCATCCTACTATTATTTTTTTTGGTTTCAAAAATTATCGACCCTGGACTATTATATTAAGACTAATTTCTATAAAAGTATGGGCAAATTTCATTTTTTTATAAATACCTACATACTTTAATTTATATTTTTTTTAATATTTTATCAAAAAAGCCCAAAGGGAGGATAATGTGTTTGACGTCTATATGTATTATGTACATAATACGTCCGATACTACTTTGACTGAACGGAATTTGACCAATTATACATCGTTAGATTTTTCTTGAAAATACGAGTTTCGATAATATTAATATTATAAAATATCAAATTTTAGGCGTCCATTTGGATATCTCTCCTTCTTCCATAAACGAAGTTTAATTCATCAAAATCGGTTCACCTGTTTTGGGGCTACGAGGGAACACATAACAACAATTTTTTCGTCACTATGATATTTAGGGCACTCGATCGTGCGCGCCAACTCCAATAGTAGATTTTTTAAATTATATTCTATAAATAGTATATGGCACCACCGTCGATAAATAACATATTATGTATTTATAAAAAAAAAGATTCATGAATGTTGGTCCTAATTGGCAAAGATATCAGATACAAAAACATACACACAAGTTAAGTTCAGACAATTTTCAATAGATGTCGTTGTGTTTGATGTTTATGTTTACTTACTATAAATTATTACGTAAAAATCGGGAATGTCGAACATTATGCTTTTTTTTATATTGCGTGTGTATTAAATAAAACCTCATATTGAAAGTGGTGAAATCTGTTCTAACTTCTAACTCATTAGAATTAAACTATTATTATTTTGTATACTTTAGGCAACGTTATCCATTGGCAAGTCGCCTACTCACTCGTGTCGCTAGCAAATTTCCTGAGGCTACAGGTGATAGAGAAATTTATTAAAATAATTTAAAGAAAAATAGCATTTGTAGAACATGTATACATATAATAAAATTGTAACTAAGCCGAATCTGTACATTAAATATTTTTTGGAAAATCTTATTCAAATAGACATTATTATCGATACAGAGGCCGAATCTATAGTTTTTAGAATTATTGTCTGTCTGTCTGTTACAGCATCACAGAAAAACCACTGGAGGAATTTTGATGAAGTTTGGTATGGTGATAGCTGGTTATTCGGGTCAACATATAGGATACTTTTTATCATGGAAAAATATCTCATTTCTGAGAAAAAATGCAAAAACTGCAAAGTAAGAGAATACTTATATATATAAACCTAAGAATTTGGTTTTTCGTCATCTGAACGCGGGCGGAGCCGAGGGCAATGCTAGTCTTAAATATGCTAATACAAAATTTTAAGAAAAAGTATATTATTGAAAAAGTATATAAGAACATAGAATAATTGATATAAATGAAATAAGTGCAAAGTTATATATAATTTATTGAGATTAAATTACATAATATGTATTTGTGCACATAAAAAAATAATCATTTTTCCTTCTTCTCGGCAGACAGGGAGTTGTAGAGCTTCGTTATTTCATTGATAATGAGATTTTGGACAACTGTACCATTGTTATCAATGAAATTGGCAAAAGACTTGTTTATGGATGCTTCACGAGACTTTCCATTAGAGTTTCTCATCACAAGAACCAACTTGTATTTATCATCATGCCTAGAAATTAAAAAATTACTGTAATTTATTGTATTATTATTATAATAAAATATATGTATATATCTAAATTAGAATATAATAAACTAAAATAAATTCATGCCCATCATTAAAATGAAAACTATAACTTATCTTTTATCTATTTTGAAATCATTAGAAAAAAACTTCTCAGATAAATCTTGAATAGCAATATTCTTTCACTTAGATAATATCTTTAACACTTATTATTATGTACATTTTAAGATAAAAGTAACAAAAAGTATTAAAAAAACAGCACAGCAGAAACAATGTACTTTCATCCAAAAAGATTAGATTAAAAAAAAATTATAAATTTCATTGTATATTCAATTATTAAACTAAATAAAATTATAAAAAAAATTGTATAAGTATGAGTAAGACTAGACTAATGCCCGATTTCACCAACGTCACCTTAGTTTAAGGGATCCCCTAAGCATGGTTAGGGGGCTGTTAGAAAACAGTTTCTGTTTCACCGATAGTTAGGGGTCACCTAAAAATTAAAAGGCCCCCTAAATTTAGGTGCTCGAAATATGAGCTTAAAGACGATCATAAAACAAAATTTAATTTAGGGGCTAGTTTAGGGGACTTTTAAGCTAGGGATCCCATATGTAGGTGGTAGCTTATGGGTTGTTGGTGAAATGGGGCATAAGTCTCCATCACACACCCATTGGTATATTCACCCTTGGAAAAAATTTATCATTTGCTATTTTATTTTATTTCTACTTATTATTTGTTTTCTAGTTACTTAAATTTTTGTTAGCGATTATACCATATGTATAGCAAAAACAATTAATTACTTGTATGAAGATTAACATAACTATTTTTTTTTTTTGATTACAAGTAGGCAACATAAGCTTAGTAATATTATACCAACTCAATGATTCTGAGACCAATCTCCTAAAAACTTTTACAATAACAAAACTAATTATATAAACACAATTCATGAACTTACTTCTTAACATAAGAGCTAGCTTCCCAAACTCTATTATTGTTGCCAACTTTCTCCTTAGCAACCACGAAAATTCCCTTCTCCTTGAAAGTTGTGTATAGTGTCAAAATGCTCATTAGAATGAAGTATGATGATACACATATTATGAGCACGAGTCTAGAAAAATTGAATTTATTATTACTCTTAAAAACAATTTTTACTATATTTTGAATAAAAATATCACTTTACTTCAATATAAACATCATTCTTATACAATGTAATAGCAAATAACATTACTTACTTAGACTGTGGAAAGGGATATAAGTAGTCCCAAAGCAGAGCATAGAGAGCTACTCCAACAGCCAAAGCACAAAGGAATAAGCGTCCATCAATCAATGCAAAACTCTCTTTACATTTTAATTCTCCAGTAAACACCTGAAAAGTATTTAATATTATTTTTTTTTTCAAGATTATAAGTATTATCAACTTTACTAACAATAAATGTATAAAAACAAGATTTTATTGCTATATCAAGAATAATAATCCTAGAAATTTTAACATCAATTAATGTAAAATACCTCTCTAATGGCATCATCAATGGCATTTTTAGCAGCAGCTCCATCCCACTTATTTATTTTAACTACCTGAAAGTTACAATTGTTTTTATTATATAGGTGTAAATTGTAGAAATGAACTTAATAACCAGTGTTGATTATGTTGAAGCCAATAGGATATTTTTTTAAATTAACAAATATTTACAAGTTTCTTATTTTTTAGTATAAATAGTTAGTCTCCTTTAAAAAGATTTTATGTATACAAAACAGGGCAGGTTTTTATAAAATAAAACAAAATGTGTTTGTAAGTATCGGCATGAATGACGTGTCTCTCAGAAGAATATAAACAGGAGAAATTAGCATAATAATTTAGCCCATTCTTACCTCAGGTGTTTCATTCGTCATATTTCAATTTCAGGTATTATTTTTAAGTTAAAGTATTCTTTTAGCGAGTTCCTCTTAGTATTATCTAAAAATTACCAAAATCTCGTTTTCGTTTTTATGACAGAAAAAAAATTAGAAGTTGAAGTTGAAAGCCGCTACCTATGTGACACGATAGCACTCAAAGTTACCATTACCAGTTTACCTACTCATTGTTATTTGTTTTATTTAATTTATATTATAAATACAGTACATACAAGAACTACAAACTGCTTTCAAATATATAATATTAATAGATAAATCCTGTATGTGAATTAATATATGAAATTTTAAAGTTAGTACTTAGCGTCTTAATTATTTATGATAAGGACGTTTAAATCCAGTATTTATATTACAAGAAAGTAAGAAATTAAATAAATGAACACTATTATTTTTCCTTTTATATTCAATTTAGAAAAATACTTAAAAATATTTTCTATATTTTTTATAATTTAATGATCTATACAAATCTTAACTTTTCATTTTCAAACTACATTTCCCACGTGTGTACTACGCTTTGTTATGATCGATTTCGAGTCATTTATGTTTCATTTAATAATTCTTATGGAATTGAGACTTTAATTTTAACCAAAAGATATTAATAAAGTATACAGAATTAAATATAATAGTGCGTATGATATAAACAGCAAACAATAAAATAAATAGTTAAATTGTATACTGGCACTGACAATTTGGGCACAACAAAATTAATGATGGATGCCAATTTAATCAAGGTGTAAAAGTAACGACAAATAGCGTACCCGTATGCATTCGTTACTATAGCATCAGTACTCGTTACTTTTGAATCGTTACTCGTTACTTTTGATACCCGATAACATACTCGTAGAGCATCGTATCGAGTCGTGTTGCGTATGTATTGCGTACGGTATAAATTATACGTTATACCGTATATCGTTGACGTCACGTTGTTTTCTGTGGAATAATGCACGATCAACAAACCATTTCAATTGGAGAGTTACATGATATCCAGAACCCGTAAATTTTGATTATTTATAAATCTATATAATTTTTAAAAACTTTACTAACAATATTTTTTTATTAATAATTTTTGAATTTTAATAATAAATATAAAAATAGGTAATTTAAAAATGAATAAGTAACGGCATCTATCACGTTAGTGTGACGTCGTAATGCATATTTTATTTAAAATCAATTGCGCGAATGATTTATCAAATCATAATCAGTATGTATTACACATAATCACATGATCATGTCTCACGTAGGATAAAAAGATAATTATTGTATTACAATATTGTACACAATTATTATTTTAAAAGAGCCGTTGTTGAGTTTCTCGCCGGTTCTTCTCAGCAGAAAACTTTATTCCGAGCCGACGGTAGTTCCTAACGGACTAACATTTAATTTTAATTTAAAATGTAAAATTGACGATTCAAAAGAGCTTGTAAAAGTTTATTTGAATAAAGTATATTTTGATTTCATTTGACATAATCATTTAGTAAAAATTATAAGTATTTGTTGGATAAAAAACTAAAAATGTGTTCTAAATATAATGGTTGTTTCTAATTGAAAATTGTTTCTAAACAAAATTTCTAAGATCTGGAAATCATGCAACTCGAAATAAATAAATAAACTCTCTAATTTACTCATCAATGGTATTAAGTATTAACTGAAAGTTGTATTTTGCTAAAAATCAATAAAAACATTAGTACGAAAATATGTACGGAAAATGCGAGTAACGAAATGCATTCGTGAGTAACGTTTTGGTACTCGGTACTAGATGGCGTACCCGTTACTCAGTAACGAATACATACGGTTTGCTACAGCTCTACAATTTAATAAAAAGTACCAATGGATTGGATTTAGAAAAAATGAAGTAGTTGTCGCTAACTTATCAATTTATTTGTGATTTGTAAGTTTTATAAATTATTTGTTTTGCAATATATGAGAATATATCTCAGGTTGGGACAGTAATGGTACGTTTTACATTTAGTTTAATAATAGTATGAATTTAAGGGCATCGAACCGGTGGTTACGCTGTTTGACCATCTATTAACTTAAAAATTATTTATTGATGAATTACAACTATTTTGAAATATAAGTGTGAATATTTAATACTTTTAATAAAATAACATACATCACAACAACAATATGGCATTGACAGACGACGATTAACGATCGAAAGAGGTCACTGTGTTTTAGATTTCATGCATGTTTCTTACATGGTTGTCATAGTTTCTTAAATTTGTAGGTTGTTTGCCAACAATGGCGAAAAGGAAGAAGCCAGCTACTAAAGCCCCATCTCGTCGATCAACTCGACGCGGGAAACAAGCAGAGGCAGCCAACGTCACTGATGGCGAGACGTCCACATCAATTGAACCAGTTCCTGAACCATCTACTGAAGACAAACCTCCTCCCGATATCAAGAGTGAAGAATCACTCAACCCAGGTCAAAAAAATGAAACACTGCCCAACTGTGTGCACAAATTAAAAACAGATCAAATTAATCCTATTCCAACAGTAGCTTTACATAAAAAATTTGGTAAATATCGATGCTTATTTAATAGTGATGACCGTTTACATAAAAAATATGATTTAGGCAGTGATAGTGAAACTAATAGCAGTATAGAGATAAGAGTTGTTGACCCATGTGCAAGCTCAGAGTCTGATGCTGCTTTGGATAATCAATCTGATACAAACAGTGGAGCTTGCTCTAGTCCATTAACTCTTCATGTAATTTCTTCACAAGGAAATTCTAGAGAAATGTCCCCTGTACAAGTAAATGAAATCCAAAAAGACATTGTGATAGTAAAAGATGATATTAATCAACATGAAGAAAATATCCAAGATACCATTAAGGAGATTACAGATAATGAGGAAACTAAAAATTCCCAATATGTAGTCAGTGATATCAAAGAAAATACTGTTAAGCAAATAGAGCAAAATTTAGTTAATTCAATCAATAGTGAAGAAAAACTTAATCATGAGAACCAACAGGTGACATTGGAAGAGCACTTAGAATATGGTGATGATGATGAAGTTATCACAATAGTTCAGATTGTAGAGGATGATAACCACGAGCTATATTACAACATTAATATAGAAAGTCCAACACAAATTCCAGAACAACATGCAGAGGAACCTATAAAGGAGCATAGAGACACAGATTTTCAAAAAGATTTCGCCAAACTCAATCTTACTCAATTGGATTCTAATCGTTATTCTCCTATGCATTGCTTAGAAAACAATAACATGAGGACACCACCTTGCCACACACCTGATCCTCAAATTTTAAATGAAGTGTTGATGAGACCTGACCCAAGCTTGACACCTAGTTCCACCCTGTCTGATGACAGCAACTCATCCCGAGTGATGGAACAAAATCCAAATAATTCTAATGACTCTTCTGAGTCTTCACCAACTGGTGTCAGAAGGTCGAGCCGCATTAAAACGATAAGTACATTGAAACAAAAGACAAAAGGTTATGGGTTGGTCAAAACACCTCTCAAAAAAGCTTTGATCACTCAAACCAAGCTAAAATTAGAAGAAATGGGTTCTGATAGCCAAGAAAAGTCTGAAAATTTGCAAAATACTGTTCCTAGCACACTTACATTTCCTGTACCTTCTGAGATGCCTGTTAAAGTTAAATCTCGGTGGCGCAGATCCAGTGAGCTGGAAATGGGGGCAAATTCACCTGCCAACTCTCCTTTAGCCAGCCCTGGCTTGCCTCAGAAATTACCTGCATTAGAAGAAGCACCTAGGGAGATAGAAGAAGAGCAGACAGTACCATTATCTAAAGAGGCATATGACAAAATTATTGAAGAAAGATTGAGACAGTACCAGCATTTAGAGGAAAATGAGTATTTATGTGAGCGCATGGTTAGTAAGGAGACAAAAAAGATGATCTGTGACTGTTTCATAACTAAAGATGAATTAGAAAGGGGAGAACTAGCATGTGGTGAAGACTGTTTGAATAGATTACTTATGATTGAATGGTAAGCATATTTTGTCTGATTTATTATTTGTATTTTGTTTTCTATAATAATAGTTTATAACAATATGATGATTAATACTATGAATACAATATTCAAGGTATATATGTGATAAAAAATGTTTAGACACTCAAAAACTGTTACGACAACATCGAAGGGACTATTTATATTTGGCCTTAAAAATGTTAAAAGAAATATAGAAACCCACTTCAAAACACTAAAAAGTTAAAAATAACTGGATGGTAGTTTTCATTTACTATGGATACTTAATCAGATATTTTCGAAGTTGGTACCAGCCAACAATGTTTTAAGATATGAACCTTATAGTTTAAAATATTATACATCAATTTGTGATGTAAGCTTTTCTTTGATTTGTATCTACTGGCACAGACTTCCAAAATGTCAGATTATATATATATCAAAATATCAGGTATCTATAGTAAATGAAAAGTACTATTTCAGTTATTTTTAACATTTTTGTGTTTAAGTCAGTTTTTCATTTTCTTTTAAGAAGATAGACATAGTAGTAGCTAAGTAAGAAGAATGTGTTTTAAACATTTTATAGATGAAAAATCAATAACCCCTATTTTTAAAACTTGGGGTGGATTATTTTTCATATTTAAATGAGACCAACTTTGTATACCCTATCTTATAATATAAGAATCACTGAAATCGGACTAGACTGTCAAAAGTTATGTCTGGTCAAGCATCAAAAACAAAAATATATATGTCTCGAATTCAGAACTTCCTTCTTTTTTTCCATGGTTGCAAAATTAAGCATTTACAATGTTATGTGAGTTATTATTCTTTCAGTAACTCTAGATGTCCAGTTGGTGATAGGTGTACTAATAGGAGGTTTCAGAAAAGGGAGAATGCTGCTTTAAAAGTATTTTATGCTGACAAAAAAGGTTGTGGTGTTGAAGCCAATGCAGATATTACAGCGTAAGTATAGTTGTATATTTTAACCATTTTAGCCTCTTTTTTAAATTTCTGCTTTGTCACTAGATTAACAATGTACATGCATATTAACTTAAATTTCATTTTTCGCTGATGTATTTAATAATATGTTACAATTCAATTAATTTCTGTTAAATTCAAAATAATATTACTACATGAGAATTCTTTTAGTATGTTGTAATATATAAAAATACATGTTACACAATGTTTTTATTATACATTAGTACATGTATAAAAACTTAATATTCTATAATAAATTTTGTATTTTATAATTATTTTATTGTACAATTGTTCTAATAAATTTTTGCTATAAACATTGTATGAAAATGTTCTGCGAAATATTTTAATATGAAAGAGTTTGCAGTGCGAATAATAATTCACATGTGCTTGCTGGCTTTTTTCTGCTTTTTCTTAAATGTAATAAAAATGATTCTATTTCACTAGTTGAAGTAATATATTATATTGCTTGAAAATAAGTCATGTATTATACAAGATATAACAATGCACATAATTAGCATGTTTTTATTGCTTTTAATTTTATTTGATTTCCCTTGCAGAGGCGAATTCTTAATGGAATATGTGGGTGAAGTGCTCGATTACGAGCAGTTTTACAAACGTGCGCAGGCTTATTCTGAAGAGAACAACCTGCATCACTACTTCATGTCGTTGAAAGGCGACACGGTGATCGATGCGACGCTCAAAGGCAACATATCACGCTTCATCAACCACTCGTGCGAGCCGAACGCCGAGACGCAGAAGTGGACCGTGAACGGAGAACTCAGAATAGGGTTCTTCAGTAAGAGAGATATCCCAACAGGAGAGGAGATTACATTTGATTACCAGTTTCAGAGATTTGGGTGAGTTTATTTGTATGTTCATATATTATATGAACTTTAATTATGTAGGGTTTGAAATTGAATTGAAATAAGTTGCATTATTTTTGTTTGGAAATATGTATTGGTGATAGTAAATAAAATATTACATCTAGTTATCTGATCACAAATGCAACAAAATTATGATCCCTTACCTTTTTTCTGTCTCTACTGAATTATCATGCCTACATGCTAGTAAGCTACATAAATATTTAATCGTAATAATTATCATTTTACAGTATTATAAATTTATAAAAGCACAAAAAACACAGTATTTATGAACATTGAATGATTTCATCAAACATTTCATGAAATCTTATTTTTTTTTAACTTCATTGTACACAGTAAAGTAGCGCAGCGTTGCTATTGCGGCGCTGAGAACTGTCGTGGATGGATTGGAGCTGAACCAGACTCTGATGATGACTATGATGAAGAGGTACAATTTGATTATTAAGAAATTAGTTATATATGAGATTATTAATATAAATTACAAGTAAAAATTTTTAAAGCTACTTATTATTAATTTATGATTACTTAATTTTTTTTTGTATTACAGATATATGTACATGATTTTTACTAATAGCTTGAACTGCTGAACACTTAAAAGACATTACCTTGTCTTCTCATCTCTACTCAGCTTGCTTTTGCTCAAAATATTGCTATTCAATGGAAGAATGTAGTAGAATATTTGTTACAATTCCATGTAGATATCAATACTGATTATTAAGTATACATTTGTTTTGAATATATAATTAAGTACATACATTTATAATATCACTGTAAATTCCTTGTAAAATACTATATAAAGATAATATTAATGATTAAAACATTATACAGGAGGAGGATGTATCAACATCTAAGTCAGGTACAGCGGAGTCCGAGGAGGCCCGCGCTTCGGACCTGGAGGCGCCGCCGCGGCGTCGCGTACGCAGGCCCAAGGGTGACCGCAAGTACAAGCCTAAAGCCCCCGATCTGGTGCAGGATGCTGATGTTAGTATCTGTTTATATCTTCTTTCATCTTCTACATATGTGGTAGGGTAAATGACTGACTGATTTATTACTGTGCAGCCTAAATCACTGGGTCTAGGCATGGGAAATTTTGCATATAGCACTGAAAGGGTTTTAGTAAATTAATTTTTGAGGGTGGGTGGTATGGAACATACTATAATACGTAATATATAAATAACGCGGGCGCGAAACATTTGAATTATAAAAAATAATATTTTTTGTTTTATAGTAGGGCTGGGATGAAGAGAATCTTCAAATTTTTTTTTACATCTTAAGTTTTATATAATATTTTATATTAGAATTTTCCTAATAATAACATGGAATATATACAATATGACAATTTAAAATTGTATGACTTATGTATTATTATTATTAACTTAATCCAGATCGAAGAAGACCTAGAGGCGTTGTCCCGCACCGGCGTCAAGAACCAAGCGCACACTCTCCGCCTGTCGCGTACGGTGGTGCGCGCGAAGACGCGGCGCGCGCAGGCGGCGCTGCTGCGGCTGCTGCGCGACGCGCACCTGCCGTGCCGCCGCCTGTTCCTGGACTACCGCGGCCTGCGTCTGCTGGCGCCCTGGTGTGCTGACGCACCTTTGAGCTTTAGGTGAGCCACGACCTACCAATGACACTTGCATTGGTTTTTTTTAATTTGATTACTATAGTATGTACTGATACAGCAATTTTACAAAAGTGAACCCACAAAACTGTCTGCACAGTTTGTCTGTGGGATCAGAGTCTCAAGATAAACTTAGATTATCATATTTAAGGCTTCTAAGTGAAGTATGTTTAATTATGTTAAACTGTCCGTATAGTGTTTTATTGGCCAATTTGGCCGAAAAAAAATTGAAATAAAAATTGTGCTTAAAATTGAACGTCTTATAATGTCACTATGTTTTCTTTATACAAATTTGTCACAAATGTAATTTATAAAAAGGTTAATAAAAAAGGTCTTAGTAAAAATATAAAAGTATAAAAAGGATGTGTGTGTATATATATTTGTGCTTACATCAACTAGAGAGTTACCCTCGCTTTGCTCAGGTGTAATGGTGACGTTTTTGATTTACAAAAACTTAAAATACACAATTTACGTCTCAAATATGTCCTCAAAAAGAAGGCCTCAATTTCGAATTGTGCGATTTTTGCAAATGTCTTTTGTCATTGCTTTTCCGATGACAAAATTTAAATGCACATTGTTTTGTTTAAAAAAGTACTTTCTGTGGTATGTCCGAGTTTGAATTTGTGTTTAGACATTTAGAACTTTCAATTTTTTTATTCCTTGGTTTGACTTATCGACTTTTTGAAAAGATATTTCGTTAGGAAACGAGTATCTATGTTTTGGTCAATGGTAATAAATCTAAACGAAAGGTTCGATTCGAATAATTTAAAGGGGAATTTACATATACATAGTCAATGTTGATTATGAAATTGTTTATTTAGTTTCAAATATATCATTTTATATAAATAATTTATATTATAATCGTTCTGACGAAAGACTGTCGCAATTAGTCAATGGAGTTAGGAACAACTGAAATAATAATTATTTTGCATAATATTTTTTACTTTGAATTTTATTTTCTTTATTTACGATATTTAGCTTATAATCTTTTTTTAATTTCCAGACTTGAAATGCTCCAAACTGTGGATCGGCTACCAATCACTAATAAAACAATGGTACAAGAGAGTAGATTCTTTACAATCGTGGAGCGATGGCTCAGTGCCAATGATGTTCCTGTACCAGATACTGTGTTCATTGATGAGGCTACTGGTACGACTTATTATAATTTTACGCTAATATTTAATTAAATTTTTTGTAGTTAATTTGTGTAACATGTCAGTCATATTTAAATAATTGCAGGTTTGCCAATAGAACTTCCTAATAGAACAGCTCAAGATGAGGCTGCCTTAGCAGATAAGACTAAAGAAAATAGTGCCATTTCTGAAAAAGTAAAAGATCTATGTAATCAGTTGCTTGAGAGATGGTCAAGTTTAAAGGTAAATAATAATCTTGTATAAAAAAGGGCATTACATAGAACAATTGTAGTGAAACCAATCTTAGTTAATGGCAATCAGTATATGTTTACTTCTGTATTCTGTATCATTAGCATACAAATACCATACTGTAATATATTCTCCATTCTTTGCCTCACTTATTATTATAGTCTGTACAGATATTAATAAATTCAATAATAAACACATTTAATCTATAATATTTTTTTGTGTGTATAGGAAGTATTCAAGATTCCAAAGAAAGAGCGCATACAGCAAATGAAAGAGCACGAGCGTCAAGCTAACGTGGAGAGACGCGCGGCGGACTCGAGCGGCACGCGCGACCGCGACCGCAGGGACGAGCGCGACCGCGACCGAAGGGACGACCGCGACCGCGACAGGGAGAGGGAGAGAGACCGCGAGCGGGATAGATATAGGGAGCGAGACCGCGAGAGGGATAGGGATAGAGAGAGGGATGATCGCGATAGAAGAAAAAGGAGGACGAGTCCCGAAGGAAGGCGTAGTATTAGGTTTGTATGATCGACCAAAATTAGACATCCATTTTCTTTTCATTTTATATTTATCTTGATCTTCTCTTTCTCTGTCTTAGGAAAGAATGAGCTTGGAAATAAAAAACTTGCTTATTTGTATTCAATACTTTGATTTTGACTTTAGATTATTGAAGTCCAAAAGACAGAATGAATGGATGTATTATTGATGTTCAATATAAACATTCTTAGTTTGAATCAGTTATCCGTTTTAAAAATTAAAAAATGTTTAAGTAAAAATTGATATTTTCATTTTTTGTAGTAATAATAGGACGGAAGCAATCTCTATGGCCTCATTGAGATATAAATATATCTCTATTGAGATAAATCTATAATGTATCGAACTGCAGGCTAACAGAGCGCGTGCTGGCCGCGGTGCCGCCCATGAGCAAGGAGGAGCGGCGGCGCGCGTTCGCGGAGGCGGCGGCGGCGGCGGACGAGAGCCGGCGGCGGCGCGAGCGCGATGCGCAGTGGCCGGCGCACTACGCGCACCACTGGCCGCCCGACGCCTTCGCGCAGGTAGCAAATATGTATCATCATACCATCTATACATATAATAAAATTGTAATTAAGCCTAATCTGTACATAAAATATTTTTTGGAAAATCTTATTGAAATAAACATTATTATCGATACAGAGGCCGAATTTATATTTTTTTGGAATTTTTGTCTGTCTGTCTGGCTGTTTGTCTGTCTATCTGTTACCGCATCACAGAAAAACCACTGGAGGGATTTTGATGAAATTTGGTATGGTGATAGCTGGTTATCCGGGTCAACATATAGGATACATTTTACTGCGGGAAAATGTCTTATTACTGAGAAAAAATACAAAAACTGCAATGTAAGAGTATACTGATTATATAAAACCTAAGTATTTGGTTTTTGGTCATCTGAACGCGGGCGGAGCCGCGGGCAATGCTAGTGATATATAATATTATATTCTCTCCTTTCCTTTGCGGCCACTTTTACATTCGTAGAGGTATTTTATCATGCATGATAGAGATATTTTATCATGTATGATATATAAATGATGAATATACGCCATGAACGTATAAATGTAACAAAAAAATCTTTAATGACTGGCGTTGCCCGTTGCGGCCACTTTTACATAGACAGACATAGTTTATCAGGTACAGAAAAAAATTCGCTTTAATTTGATATATAAATAATGTATATACGCCATGAACGTATAAATGTACCAAAATATGACCTTCTTACACCTGGCTGCGAAGAGGTTGCGGCCAAGTGCGCAACGGCATCTATCACTTTTCAAGATCTCTACGTATATTTCTGTGAAGTGGAGTATTGCCCGCACACATCGACAGCCAAAAAGCGACATGATGTAGTTAGCTGGATTCCTTTTACAAACAGAGAGTTGTGACATACGGGTGGAAATCTTTAGCTATTTTTGTTCTGTTACGCCAAAGAAGCATAACTTCTTACGTACGTACATAAGTACACACACACGTGTTGTTTTTTAAATTTGAAATCTAAATGGGAATTCCCATGAGGTAGTGAGGATAATCTATTGATTTGAAAAACAGTATCATTAAATAGTTTTGCAATAAATTAAATCAAAACAAAATTTACTGATAAATATTATACACACGTCCTTAACTTAATTTTATTTTCAGATGTTCCCACAAGGCATGATTCCAGGAGCGCCAAACATAATGCCTGGTCCACAAAACATGATGAATGGACCACAAAATATGATGAATGGACCACAAAATATGATGAATGGACCACAAAATATTATGAATGGGGCCCCAAATATGATAAGTGGGGGTAGCATGGTGCCCATGGTGCCCCCTGGAGTACCTGGTATGATGTCAGGGGTTATGCCAGATGTACCTCCCGAGTGGGTGGGTCTTAATGGAGAGTTCCAAGGGCCTCCTGGATTTTGTCAGCCATTCCCGGGTCCACAGTTCTGTATGCCACAACCGAAGTGAGTATTGATTTATTGATGTAATAAATTAAGTTGAAATTAAAAATATGGTGGTAAAGACATTATTTGTCCAACGAAATTTTTCACGCGAATGGAAAATTCCTCTGTTTTTGCTACTATTTCTCTATAAGATTTAGAAGACCAAAACGTTTACTAAGGATTAAAAATAAACACTTATGAAATGAACATTGATGAAGATGTCCTCCTGACCGATTTCGGCCACGGCGGCCAATCTCACTGAGCCAATATTACTCTAAAAACTATTACTTTTAAATTCCGATGGTACTATAATTCACACGACCACTGAGAGATCTTCTTTAACAGAAAAACTCAATAACTACACTTGGCCCGACTCGGGACTTGAACCCAGGACTTTTGTATGTGTATCCGTATATGCTATCCACTACACCACTGAGGCAGTTAAGATAAAGGGAAATAAAAAATAAGCAAAAAGCAGTAATGAGGACTGCAGACAAAAGTGAAAACTTATTAATTTAAAACTATTTACATTTACCTGGTTTTGACATCTATCGGCACTGAGTGTTAACGTTAACACGTCACGTGACCATTTCGATGACGACTTACGTGAATTTACTCTCCATCCAAACCTGCTTTAGAAGTTTTCACTTTAATAATATTTATATCAATATTCGCAGTATGATGAGTATGAGCGGGTTCGGCATGGGCGGGTTCGTGTTCGGGCAGCAAATGCCGTTCCCGCCGCAGCCGCCGCCCGCCGTGTCCGTCGCGCAGACGGTAATTGTTTGTTACTGTATTTATAGTTTATACTAGTGAGTAGTGTGTTAGTTTTCGCCTGCGACACTGCTTGCGAATTGGCCGTCATTACAGAAATCACAATATCATTGAAGTTCGATGAGTCTTTACAGCGTGAAGAAGACGTTCTTCTTCTAACACGCTGTCGGCGCATTTTTGAGGCGCTTTCCACGTGCAGTGTACGCGTTATATAAGTGCGCTTGTCACCGCGTTTGTATCGATACAAAAGCATTTTTTTTTAATTTATCAAAGCAGAACGTCGCAGATGACATATGTTCGTACACATATACACACCTGTACACATACCTACTTACATTACGACTTTCGAAGACCAAGACGAGTTCCTATAAAATGTAGTTTTTTTTAGTCTTGGACTACTGTTATAATTTGATTCAGCTTCACACCGAAACGCCTGGACGGATTTGGGTAAAATTATATATAAATATATATATAGACTAAAATTTGGAGTAACACATAAGCTACTGTTTGGTATTTAAGGGAGCACCTGATCGAAGTGGGGTTTGTCGCTAGTATTTATATAAATAAATAAATATCATCATCATATCATCATCAACATACAGCACCATTTAGTTCCATGGTAAGCTACGAGGCTTGTGTTATGGATACTGGGCAGTTAATACACTACACAAATTTAACTTTAAATACATGCATATAATACTTTCTTAGATTTAAACGAACCTAAGTTAGTCTAAGTTACTCCTTATAACATCAACTACCTGCCAGTGAAAGTCCCGTCAAAATCGGCCCTAGCCGTTTCGGAGATTAGCTGGAACAAACAAACAGACAGACAGACAAATATTTAAAAAAATGTATTTTTCTTATGAATACCGTATGTAATTCCATGTGCATTTAGTAAAAAGCTGTTATTTTGACATTACAAACAGACACTTCAATTTTATTTATCTGTATAGATACATAGATATTACAATGTGCAGATGGAGGCTGCGTCGGAGAGCGCGCCGGAGCCGGTGCTGCCGTCGATGTGGCGCAGCGCGGTGGACGCGCGCGGCCGCCGCTACTACTACCACGTGAAGCTGCGCCAGCCGCAGTGGCTGCCGCCCGCGCCGCCGCCGCCCGACAGAGGTACGACTGTGTTCGCCGAATGAACCAAGCACTGAGATTTTGCGCTTCCATAGTTTTCCACGACTAATTATAATATACTAGTAACTAGTAAAATTAATTCTGCAATAACTATGAGGTTTTTTATTGTATGTACAGATGAGAGTTCTTCAGAAGAAGAGGCGGAACCCATGACGGCCCTCGAGTCAGCGGTCATCGGGCGACCAGTGAAGGGCAAACTTGTTGAAGGCGTTAATGGAATTTATGAAGGTATATGTATTTTTAATTAAAAAAATATATACATCACCGTATCTTATGGAATACTTTAAAGTAGACTAACTTGTTAGTTGTAATTTTAAGGCGCCATAATAATAAAGCGAAAACTTATTTCTCATATCCTAAGGCATAGATAGGTTTGTGTGGGGGTTTGTACTGTACAACTTGTAGTGAGAAATAACTATTCCCTTTAAGCAAAGGGAACCTATGTATTATAATTTTTGCTCGTAACACTGATCCCATATGCCTGCGCTGTTAATCAGTCATATCCGTTTAACCATTTTGGCACCAATCAGTTACACACTTGTTAAATTACATACAATCTTTCGTATTTATAATAATAGTGTATGTAATAAAGATTAAGTTGTTTTAAATATATTTTTTTTTATTATAGTTATAAAAGAAGATTCACAAAACGGCTTGATCCCGGATCACGCGTTACTGAACATGAAGTCAAGGAAGCGCAGGCCAGGACTCGTATCAGAAAGACCGATAAGTGTAAGAAGCTTTCAATATCTGTTTCTTAATGTTATTATTAAAAGTTCCTAATATACCAAATGCCTAAATTCTTGAACTACGATGAAAAATATCAGCACTAGCTAGAATAATTTTTGGTCAACAAAACTGATTACTTCTTAAATAAAAAGTTTCTTAAACTCCTATACACAACTTTTAAGAACTACCCTACAAGGGTTTGTAAACACCTATATAGGGTTTGTTTAGTGAAATACATATTATGTAGCTAATTCATTTTGATAATCAATATTTGTTTTTATTAGACCAGTTCTTACAACTTTGTTTTCATAGTTCAAGATTTGTACCATAATATGTATGTTTGAATGTTTTTAATAAAAAATTATACGATTTGTTGCGTTTTATATTTTTATATAAATTTCATACTGCAAAAGAATTCTCATAAATAAAATAACTATTATGAGAATTTTACTTTTTAAATAAAACTATTTTTTCGGACTTTTCGCGGATTTATTTTGATTTTTGGTTCCCCTACATTGCGAATGCTTTACAGCAATAATGGTCAAGGGTGAGACTAAGGTTTTAGATGTCTCAAAAGCATAACATAAAAATCAAAATAAATCCGCGAGAAAATCCGAAAAAATAGTTTTATTTAGAAGTCAAATATTCGCGGAAATGTAATCCCTCCACGACCGCGGACACGCCGGCGTTACAGTTATCAATAGATTTCTTAGAAATTTAATTAATTTCTTAGAATTTACCTGGAGGTGTTAAGAAAGTATTATGAGATTTTTACTTATTTGTTATTTATACATTTCCAGCCTCGTACTGAAGAAGATAAGTTAGCAGGTCGCATGGAGGTGAAGAGGTACAAGCAAACAAAGGAGAAGCTCCGCAGGAGGAAAGAGCGGCTCCTGCAGAAGGTGCGCCAGCTGGCCGCTAAGAAACGTGGCAAAGATATCACGCATAAAGATCTCAAGGTAATTTATATTTTTTTCTTATATATTGACTTTTTTTTGGTTTGTAAGGAAATCTGCGAGCGGTATTTACTTTTAACAGATATGTTCTAAGATTATTTTTTACAGTAAGAGTGTGGCTCCACTGAAACATCTCCATATTTATAATTTTTTTTAAAAGGCTAGGATATCATTCTTTTTCAGTATTTTTGTATAACTTCTTTTTGTTAAGGCAGTTCTTTTTGTTTGTTTGTTTTTTTTTTAATTATTAATTTTTGTGCGTATACACGCGAGTTTGTTTTTATTTGTTAAGTTAGAATATGTTTAAGATCTTTTAGGATTTAATTTGCGTATTTTTTTTAATTATTAAATGAAATGATTATTTTGTATGGCTTACCTTTGTTTATTTTAAATTTAACTATATCAAATGTATGAAATGTCCCGATGTTAAAATATTATAAAATAATCATTTATATATTAATATTATATATATATATATATTGATATACATATTATATCAAACACAATATTCCAATATTAAACCTATTTTACATTATTTTATTTTCAATAGTCTTAAAGTGGTTACTATTCAATATTTATAATTATTTCATAAATTAAATAAACTGAAATTAACAATAAATAATCAACATATTATTTTCAAGTTTGTCGAGTTGGACGAGACGGATAGTGAATCCGAAGGGGACTCTGACGATGGCATAGAGAAGGTGACCCTATCATCCCCACCGCTAGTGGAGGCTTCGCCGCCCTTGCCCTCGTCGCCGGCGCCCGACCCCGAGGAGACCGCCAGGAGGATCAAGGAGCAGTTCCGCAGCACCATGGCCAGGGTGATGGTGCAGCACCTCAACCCGTACCGGCACTCGGACGCGCCCGCCGGCCGCATCACCTGCACGGCTGATTTCAAACATTTAGCTAGGAAGGTGAGTGAACTTGTATTGTATAATGTATATGGGGCAATCCACGCCAAATCAGACAGAAGGTTTCTAAAATTATTATTTTTGATTTTCTTAATATTTTGGTATTTTTAGTACCTCTCAAAAGAGGCTTACTGGTAAATTTTGAGTTTTTTTTTGATCACTGGTTCAAAAACATCGACTTTAAAGAAACCGCTCTTTTTTGGTTTTTTGCTCATAACTTCCTCATAATAGTCGAAGTTATTATATTATTATTATTTTCAAAATTGTTGTTTTTGGATTACCTTTACATAAAAAATATATTTAAAATGTTTTAATCTAGACTTTTGAATTTTAAGGTTTCAATCGTGTTTTTAAACCTTCTATCCATCATGCAACTTTTAAGCCCAGTCTGGTAGGTGGGCCTTCCATAATTACTATTTACTATTTTTTGTCTATTTAAAAAAAATATTTTATTTCATTTTTAGAATTCGAAAAAAATAGTGGTTTTAAAACACACAGTTTTAAAAATGCGATTGAAAACTTAAAATTCAAAAATCTCGATTAAAAACATTTTAAATATTTTTTTTGTAAAGGTCATTCAAAAACAAAAATTTTGAATAAATAAAGTTGAATTTCGACCATTATTAAGAAAGTTATGAGCAAAATACCAAAAAAAGAACGGTATTGTACCAGTGATTAAAATATCTCAAAACTTACCAGGAAGCTCCTTTTGAGGGGTTCAAAAAATACCAAAATATTAAGAAAATCATAAATATTTTGTTTTGAAACCGTCCGATTTGGCGTGGAATGCCCTGTATGGATATGCGAGTGTTTTTTTTGTGCCAATTGCCGTTATCGGCACCTGCGCGGCTTGCCTGTACAATGTACAGAATGAAATACCGGAAACTCAAAATTAACTACTAAACGTGGTAAATGTAATAATAATGATGACAATTTAAGCTTGGTATATTACATATTGTACCTATGGATAATAATATATAAAAATAAATAAAGAATATACAGATGTTCAATTGTTTAAAAATATGCTTATGATTAAGAATTATGTTGTGATTTATGGATGATATGGCGTATATTTAACCTTTTTTTCTCAATATTCCTAGCTTTACACTATATTTTTGTAAAGTACATGGAATGACGAAACCTGCGCCATTGATAACATATTATAAGCAAAAAAAATTATTCATCGCTTTAAATACATAAACTGTTTAATATGTTTGTTTTCTATTTACAGTTAACACACTTTGTAATGCTCAAAGAGCTAAAGCACTGTCGGTCCGTCGAAGAACTGATAGTAACTGACTCTGTCAGATCGAAGGCGAAGATGTTTGTAAGGAAGTATATGGCGAAGTTCGGGCCGGTGTACAAGAGACCGCCTGAAGAGGTTGAATAGCGGCAGGTCAGCCAGCTGAAGGCTGCTATAAGGCATATTTTATTATAGCTGAAGTCTTCTGCTGGTGTGACGGAATGAAATGTGATGTGATATGATATCTTGTGACATAATACTACAATGTTTGTGTAGTGTAAGGATATATAAAAAAATTATGATCATTCAAGAGTCAATATAAACAATGATATGTATAAATTATGTGATTTCAAAGAATATGTTGTAAAGTATGTGATTGTGTGTTGTTTTAGAGACCACGGATGTCTGCGTTTCTATGATATTGGATATTAGAAAAATTATTAGTATAGTAACAAGTTACAATACACAGACGTTTTTTAATGTTGATTCATAGAGTTTCAAGGATTATGCAATATTATTAATTTGTTTTTTTTTTGGTGAAATATGTAATGATTGGAAAATTTATGAGGACAAATTCTATATTACCAAATGTAATATCTGGTAAGTTTTTATATATATATATATATTGACTATGAAAAGATTTTTTGAATACACGTCATTGTAAAAGGTGAAATTTTATCTATATCGATATAAAGGAACTACATATTATATTTTTATTATACTTCCTATGAAAATGTATTTAAAAAAAATGATTTTTGTTTTTGTTAACATTTTTTTTTAATTCTAAAAACGTACCTATATTTTGACATGTTGCAAGAGTTATAATACTATTGTATGATTTCTGTGCTTAAGTAGAGCTGTGTCTTAAATTTATTTCATTACCAGCTACTTCACTCGCTTTGCTCGGGTTTGTTCTTTGGTGATTCTTTAAATTGACATAATTTTTTTGTCTATGATCCAATATGAAATAAAACAATAAATAAAATACTAAATGTTAAGTGAAATATTACACACACAATACATTAGTGAATACCGCACCCAAATCGGTTAAGCAGTTTCTGAGATTAGTGCGCACAAATGCACAGCCAAACAGACAAATCGTTCAACAAAATAATTGTTTTGGGTTAATGACTTAATAAAGTCATATTTAAATGCGACACCCGATATATTGGTATAATTTGTTTTTTAAGTTTTTAATTCAAGAACGTTAATATGTAATGTTTCATTAAACAAATTATTATGATTTGAATTTAAAAGCTTGCAAGGAATTTTAAATGTTCCAACTACTATGAGACACTTTAGATTAACTTTTTTTAATTATTCTAATTTTAAAAGAATTGAAATAGGAATCTGTACAATGATTTTAAATGTTTTATATTATTTATATATTTTGACTTTATTTCATAGTTAAAATTAAAAATTATTTTTGTTCATATCAATCCACCGGTACTGTTCATTACACCTGTATGTACAATATGTAAGCTAAGTTTTCCTAATAATTTACATTTTTACAAATCGATTACTTATAAATCGATTTTGGGAAGTGTGTTCATTTATAAAACGTATTGAGGATGTAAATTCTATTAATCTGAAATGAAAACATTATGCAAAAGTAATGTGTTGAAAAGATTATTATCATTGACGACACATTTGGCTCAGTTTGTAGTGACCCTACTTACTGTGCCAGCGGTCGCGGGTTCGAGTCCCGCTGGGGGCATTTATTTGTGTGATGAGCACGAATGTTTATACTCCAGTCATGGGTGTTTATATTTATAATATGTATGTATTTAAAGTTATATATATGTAGTGTGTCAACTATCTGGTATCCATAACAAGCATCGTAGCTTACCATGGAACTAGATGGTGCTGTGTGTTAATGTCCCAACATATTTATTATTGTTTAGCGCGAGAAGTTTGAAAAGGTTGCCCTTATTAAGTACTGGACCTTATTGGGGAAACTTACCTTACTATTATTTACACCATTATAGCTTTTCTTTTTGAAACAATTTCCAATGATTTTGTAGCTTTTAATATATAGTTATTGTAAATATAGAATTAAGGCGCAGAATTCGTAAGTGACTCCTCATTTAGTTATATTTAACATATAAGCGAGATACTTGCACTAAGTTATTTGTTTATGATCTCTGTCTCTCTGATCGAAAAGCAAATACGAGACTCGAATATGCATATAATATGACTTGAAGTACAGTATTATTATTAGAATAACTGTATTTTTATTAAGAAGTCGCTACATCTATGATTTATTTTAATTATTAGACATGTCTAAAAAAATAGCCGGAAAATACGTTTTTGTGTTTCTTCAAGATTTAAGGCACTGACTACAATGTAATATGATCTAAATCATGAATTTCACGTTATTACTTTATTGTAAAGCAAGCCAAAGCCGCACATTGTAGATTATTGTTAATTGTTATGATTTAATACATAAATGTTGATGAGTTGAGACTCATTTTTTAGGTTAGATATTGTAATTCATGATAAAACATTTGAAGATCTGCAATGTGTGGACGAAATTTTTCAGTGTTTGTTAAAAACCAGTCATTTTGAGATAGCAATCATTGTAAATATTGTAAATAGTCTGCATCTGTCGGTCGATGGTATATGTACTGTGTATGCGAATGAGATGACATAGTGTAAGTGACTTAATATATTAAGGTGTGGCAATGAGATCGATGCCGTCAGAACAAATAAAATTTATTTCTTTTAATAAACCGTTGTTTGATTATACAGGGTTATGTCATTTGTTTTAATATGATTAATTTGTTAACTATATATATCTAATTATAAAGTCTGTCGAGTGTCTCCTCGCATTTCTTCGCGGTTGCAACAGTTTTCTTGCAGTTTTCTTTCTCATCCCATGCGTCGCATGTCTGTAATTAGCGCATAGGTTGTATTAGAGGTTTATAATAAACAACAATATTTATCTATTGAAACCTAATATTTTTTATATTTTGTGTACAAAATAGTAAGAGCATGTAGCTATAAATTCTGATTATTCACAGGACAGCTCCACGTAGATTTTTTTGCATGTTATTTATTTCTTTAAACGAAAATGCAGTGGTTTTAATATTATTTGTGTCCTTAAAATTACAGAGGTTTTAATTTACATTTACTCTTGGAGCTATAAAACAAACTATCTCAAAGACTGGTAATAAAATGTTTTAAAGTGTTTTTTTTTTTAAATAAGTCTCTCCTATTTTAAATATTAAATTATATAAAACACTAGTGAGTAGCTAATCCTCACTTCGCTTCGGGTTCGTCCTTAGACAAAACAAATGTGTCCCACGGGGACTCATTTACATGCTCTTTGACGGGAACCGTACATTTTTCGCGGATAAAAAGTAACCTAGGTGTTATTCCAGTCTATAATCTATCTCTTTGCCATATTTAGGTAATTTAGATCCGATACGCCGTTCTGCCGTGAAAGAGTAACAAACATCCATCCGGCCGTCCATCCTCACAAACTTTCACATATATGTATACATATAATATAATTGCAACTAAGCCGAATCTGTACATTAAATATTTTTTGGAAAATCTTATTGAAATAAATGTTATTATCGATACAGAAACTGAATCTATAGTTTTTGAATTTTTGTCTGTCTGTCTTGTATGTCTGTTACCGCATCACAGAAAAACTACTGGTGGCATTTTGATGAAATTTCGTATGGTGATAGTTATTCGGGTCAACATATAGGATACTTTTTACCGCGGGAAAATTTATCATTTCCGAGAAAAAATACAAAAACTGCATTGTAACAGTATACTAATAATGTAAAACCTAAGAATTTTGTTTTTGGTCATCTGAACGCGGGCGGAGCCGCGGACAGTGCTAGTTTATAATATTAGTATGGGATTGATGTTACCAAACTCCAGAAAGATTTATATACTGCATGAATAATAAGTTTCTGAACCTAATGGGACTTAAATAATCATTATTTATGTGCATTGTTACCACTATCGTATTGAATTACATGCAAACAGCAAGAGCAGCGACGTTTTCGCATTTGGTAAGAGTGATAGGTAGGTTATCGCCTCCAAAACACCTGCGCTTTAGTCCAGTGAAAAACGGATCTTTACTAGCATTCTTTGGTAATATGTCATTTAGGATCTTGCCATCTTTTATAAAACCTAATTCTTCGTAGGCACATACAATGTAGGCACACTGGAAAAAAATATATTAGTTAGCGTTAATATAACGATTTTATTTTGCTTATGTACCTACATCAGAAATTAGAAAAGGAGCTTATGTACAATGTGGAACGAGTAGTTAGAATTATATATTATAGCAGAAATCGCGGCTTCGCTCGCGCTAAATCTACAAAAAAAACTTAAAAAGGTAGTTTTCATACAAACTTTCATCCCCTATTTTACCCCTATTGTATTGAAGATCATAAATACCAAGTTTCGAGTAATTTTGATAATAAATGATTTTTTGGGTTGTATTATAACGTGTTTTCTCGCAGGAATGAGATAATCTCCCGCGGTAAAAAGAAGCCTATGTCACTCTCCAGCCCTCCAATTATCTCCACAGAAAAATCACGCCAACCCGTCACTCCGTTTCGACGTGAAAGAAGGACAAACAAACACTTTCACGTTTATAATATTGGTGCGGCGGTGTGTAACACTAGCGTAGCCTACGTGTTACTCTAGAATCTAGATCGTAATGTCTATCCGTGAACTCAATTTCACTCAAATCCGTCTAGCCGTATTAGTGTGTAAGAAGAACAAACATACACACAAACAAACATTCACATCCATAATAATAGCCTTATTAAACTGTTTATTATTAACGTTTTTCCTGCGAAATCGCACCCGTTATAAGTACGTAGGTAGATATAAAGTTAATAAGTGTGACGATATAAGTTAATAATATATCTAAGATATAAGCTACAGTGCCTGGGCGACCGAACTTCGCTCGGAGTTATTGGCCAAAAGTATAATTTTTTTTTAATAAATACAAAAAAAATTAATTAAAACCTTTGTATTCGACCGAGATTCGAACCCCGACCTGTGAATGTCAATCTTGTGAATTGGCCGCTTGACCACGAAGTTTAAGTCCGAGCAATCAAAATTAGCGACCATATTTTGCGTGGAATAATGCAAAAGAAAACCGCATAAAAACTCGAAAACACGCGTTTTCCTAGACATAAGACTAATCTAGATCGATCTTTCGCCCCCGAAATACAACATACCTCAACGAAATCGTTAAAGCCGTTTCCGAATTCGCTGATATTTATAAATAAATAAATATACAAGAATTGCTCGTTTAAAGATATAAGATATAGATTGCTTCAGAAGAATTGCTCGTTATAAGGTTATTATATAAATTAGTTGCGTAATAGTACAACGTTAAGAAGTAGCAAACATTATGTAAATATTAAATTTTACATAATTTTTTATTTTTGAACCGATTGAAATAAAACAAATACTAAATGTTAAGTGAAGCTTACCACAATACATTGGTGAAAACCGCACCTAAATCAGTTAAATTGTTTCTGAGATTAGCGCGCACAAATGCACATACAAAAATTCTAAAAATCATTGTTTTGGTTATATTGCGTTAATAAAGATCTCCAATAATAGTTTTTCTCAAGTATCTTCCATGTACTGACAGCGATCAGCTATAACTTTATTATATGTATAGAATATAGATGTATTATATTTATTTCTGTTTCGATTGTATTAATAATTATTATATTAGTAAACACTTTAAATACACACCAAGCCCTCTTTAGTGTCGTTCTTTATATTTTTACATCTTTCAAATTCCGGTGACTCCCCGTCGATCCAAACTGTTCTTTGTTTGCAGCATGCCTTGTTTAAATTCTGTAAAAAATATTGCATTTTTGAAGCCAGTGATAATCAATGTTGTGGCACCACAATGAAAGATGATACTCAATTCGTCAATTTTTTTTTTTATTGAACATAAGATTTAAAGATATTTATTGAACATAATAACATACATATTAAAAACATTTAGATCGTAAGTAGCTGCATTAGTATAAACATTAGTATAAATTATAATTATTGAATGATATAGACTATAAGATATCACACTTTAATTCTTCTGTACTTTCCATATGAAGTCAAAACAATTCACCCAAAACGGTGAAAAAAACTTCTTCTAAAATGATTTTGAAGTTGGTGTTTCTTTTTTGTTAAATATAATGAACAAGCGACTCATGCTCGCTTCGCTCGGGGTCGTCCCTAGGTACGTTTTAACGGTTAGTATGGATATCTCACGGGAACCGTACATTTTTCTGGGATAAAAAGTAACCTATGTGCTGTTCCATACTATAATTTGTCTCTGTGCCAAATTCGATCCAGATCCGTACAGACCTTCTGGCGTGATTGATTAACAATCATCCATCCATCCAAACTTTTGTATTTATAATATTTACTAGCGGCTCACCATCGCTTTGCTCGGGTTCGCCTCTAGAAAAACGAAAACAAATCTAATTTTCGGGAACCGTATATATTTCCGGGATAAAAAGTAGCCTATGTGTTATTCCAGCCTATAATCTATCACTGTGCCAAATTTCATCCTGATCCGTTCAGCCATTCTGGCATGAAAGAGTAACAAATATACATCCATACATACTCACAAACTCACATTTGTAATATTTATACAGATGGCATTCACATAGTACATGAATATTTAGTCTTATATTTAGGATGCTATGGTTTTGTCACCACAAATGTATCGTGATTGGTGACATCAGTGATGAATGTACCTACAATTCGAATGATAACAGTGGATCTTAAGTTCCATCATTTAACACAAAATTATTTTCTAGGTTAACTAAGCTTGGCGTATGTAGAGCCAATGTGCACTGGGAGGCGTCGTGGTTGAATGCGTAAGCAATCCTGCGACGCCCCATTAAGACGGGGGAAGGTTTTGTTGGGTTTTAGTGGGTAGTACTGGCTTTGCCGGTGAGTCCCATACCTCGTGCGTAAATGCATTTCCCAACGTTAAAAAAAAATGTAGAGCCAAGGTGCACTGGGAGGCGGCCCACCTCGGTGGGCGGTTTCAAAAAAAAATTAGAGACAGCGCGAAGTGTGCCGCTTACGATGCCGTCACTTTATAAAACTATGCATTTATTAGATACAATATATTCAATTGAAATGAGTAACTGTATTTACCTCAATTTTAATCAGTTCTTTGCAAGAATTGTCCAAGACGTCCTCAGCATGCACCTAAAAAAAGAAATTTAATTAGTAATATATTTTACTTAACTGTCTGAAACCGGGAGTAACCTTATCACTTAGTGATATATGTGATGGAATTAATTCCCTTGTTGTGAATTGTGTTTTCATGATAGTCCTTAAGAGGATTGTGAAGTGCCGATACGCGGCGAGAGTAGGTATTTTTAAAAATGCTATCTGTTTCATACCGCTTTGCATCCCCCCGGCAGTGAACAACACAAATACAACATACGCAAATTCTCACACACACTATGATAGCAGCAGCCGGTGACGCGCGGGCGCTTGCGGGGGGCGGGGGCGGGGGCGGCGCGACTCGGCGCAAGAGCAATTTCAAAGTTTATCTAATATTTATTATTTTAACGGTTTGCGTACAATATACATTCCCTACAAGTTACATCGCACCTTTATTCATAAACTGAAATAGCTCTAAATTACAATTCTGTGGCGAATATCATTTAAAATTTGACTTGTTTAGATTGATGACTTCAAAAAATCATAAAAAAATAAATAGGTGGTTTAGATCAATTACAAAAATCTCGTTCCAAAAGTTGAAAGTTATAGAATTTTTTGTTGTTTATGTAGGTACTAATAGACCCATCGGAATCCTTTTATTGTTAAAATAATTATTTTATTGAAAACCTGAAGTTTTATGATTTTATAATGTTAGCAGGTATATAAGGAATAGAAATTCATAAAATGACCTGATCATGAATGATGATGATTTACGATTTTTTAACATATCTATGACTAAATTTTATAAAATATATCAACTTAATTTTTTTAAATATATTTTTAACTAATGAATAAACAAGATTAGATTACGAATGATTTTCATTTCTTTCTGTAATTGCCCTAAAATCATTTTTTTCAGAAAAATCAATAAAATTAACTCCAAAAACTAATAAAATATCGATAATTTCGAAAAATTATAACGAATAGTATGTGTATATATATATAATTATACACATACTATTCGTAATAATTTTCATAAAATTATAACGAATATTATAAATTATAACGAATATAAAATTAAAAATATAAATTTTACAAAAATAAAAGTATTTTTATTGCTCCTTCTAAACGGTAATAGTCCAGCAATTAGCAAAAGAAAGCGCGTGACCGGTGGTGGGCGAGGGGTGGAGGGCGAGGGGTGGAGGGGTGTAGGAAGTGGTCCTTACTCATTCAAACTTGGCCAGATATAATGATGATGATGATATAGAAAATATTTTTATTTTTGTATGAAAATGAAAATTTAAGAAATATTTTTTTTTCTTGTTACAGAGGTTGTTGTTATGATGTAAATAGTATATTCCCAAAAGGTCTTCAGTAAATTAAAAATGACCCTGTATATATATATATATATATATATATTTATATATATATATATATATATATATATATATATATATATATATTCAGTTTTGTATTTTTTCTCAGAAATGAGATATTTTCCCGCGGTAATGCTATAATATGTTGATCCGGATAACCAGCTACCACCATACCAAATTTCATCAAAATCCCTCCAGTGGTTTTTCTGTGACGTGGTAACAGACAGACAGACATACAGACAGACAGACAAAAATTCAAAAAACTATAGATTCGGCCTCTGTATCGATAATAATGTTTATTTCAATAATATTTTCCAAAAAATATTTAATGTACAGATACGGCTTAGTTACAATCTATACATACGAGTATAATAAAATTCTAAACTTTGGATTGAATCCTTTCAGTATCGATCGATATATCGATATTACCTTCTCCTCCCTAGGAGATAATAATATCGATAGCACCTTCAACATCACTACAGTCTAAAATATGCCTCTGCCCCCGACCCGTATGGTGCGATAGAGAGAGTTGCAAGTCTTAGACTCAATTACCTACATTTCCTTTTTGAAATATTGTTTCGGGCGATAACGTTTTCACCCCCCTAAACATTAACGAAATGAGACGATTTTGGTCTCATTAGATTCAGTACACCTTAATCTAGGTCTGTACGTTTTCCTTTTTTTGTAATTCAGTTTAGTTTAATTTAAACAAATAAAAACGCTGGAGGAAGTTTTTAGGTCAAAAATATAGATATTTAGATGCTAATAACTTCTGTCGTACGCAATATTTCAAAAAAATAAAAACGTACGGACCTAGATTTTGATTATATCTACAACATTTCCAAAAATTATGAAAATTAGACTATGTTTAAGGGGGGAAAAACGTTATCGCTTTTTGTATGAAAATTTACAGGTTCACAATCCTCTTAAAATATAATTTTTTTACAAGCACTTTGATTCGTCAATTTTTACTTATATTTATCTAATTAAATGTCGAAATTAGGTGTCGTCGATTCGGAATTTATTATATTGTGAAGGCAAGGCTTAGTCAAGGCTTCGCGCTAACTAACATTACAATTACCTATTATCCATTCTTTAAAATGAGTAGAATATTATTTTGTTATGGAATAGGTACTTAAAAAATATAAACGTGTAAAATTACGTAATGCTAGTTGATATTCCCGTAGGATAAATACAGTAATTTTATTACAATTTTGCAAACTAATATTTTTAAAAGAGCTTTTTCATTTGCTCTGTACCACGAGTCGGTGGTAACTTCTTCACGGACTTTTCAATTAAGCACAAAAACGTTAACGATTCAAATCAAAGTTTTATATAAAATATATAATATTATTTTTAATTGAAATTTAACATTCTCACCTCCGATAAAACGAGAAGAGCGAGTCCAAGGAATAAGTTCTTCATATTAGCCATTGTGTTGCATTTGCTGTACTGTCTTGTGGCGTTTAATCGTTATGTATATATACAATGTTGGTTCATCATAAAAATTTTCCTTGAATCTATCTGTATGCGAAGATATAGCTATTATGGATATCACAACTTACATTTATTGATATTTACAACTTTGTAGCCATTGCAATGATTTTGTGAGACAACGAATGTGATTTGTAATCAACAAATTATATATGAAAAATTTTGTCTGTATGTTGGGTAGTGTATACAATATAAATACTAAATAATTGTAGCGTACGAGGACAACGTCAGGCGCCACCACTAGCCTTAGAGCAGCGTAGAGCGAGATAATTTTTCGAACGCCGTTTTCACTTCGCTAAAATTGTATTACAGTTTTTAAGAAGTATATAGTAATTATCAACCTTAAAAAAATTGTCGTTTGTTATAAAATCTCCGTGTTTTTTTTAATCAAATTTTACATTTTATATAGATATACATGAAGATTCATGTATCTACCTAAGAATTAAGACATAACTTTCAATAGTGTTTGCATTTTTCATTTTCCACCACTCGTTTTTCTAAACTGAAGTCGGCGTAGGAAGAGAAAAGTGTAGGGAATCATTGTTTAAAAAATAGTAAGTACACGAACCAAAAAATATTTTAATACCCTGTGCTCCTTGACTTTACGTTATCGGTTTTATATTATTATGGGAAATATTTAATAGGATAATTTCTTATTTATAGTTCATTAAAAAACACTTCAGAAATATGACTAATATTTTATTTCCATTAGATTTTGCAACGCTGCCGCTACTTAATAAACTTCTACAAGATTATGGTTTGTTTACAGTAGGTGTTTTCTATTTACTATTATATTATTAACAGAACAATATTTTGATGCGAATCTATAGGTAATCTATAGGTATTATAAATTATGACGATGATGATGTTCTCCTGGCAGATTCCGGCTACGGCGGCCAATCTCATTGAGACTAGCCAACTGCGCAGGAGATATTATAGTGCACAAGTGTACGCGCAGACACAACGTGCACTCTCTATTCCTGTCACTCTCATACTCCGGTGGGACGACTGCTCGACACGACCAGGGCGCAGGACCGACGCTCTCCGGGCTGTTACTGAGACTTACTATAGAGAAAAACTCAATAACTAAACTTGGCCCGACCCGGGACTCGAACCCAGGACCTCCGAGTGTGCAGCCGTACATGCTATCCACTACACCACCGAGGTTTATAGTACCTCGGCGACCGAGTTTCGCTCGGAGTTCTTTTTAGTTATATCGTATTTTCTAGATAAAAAAGAAAGTATAAACTTGAATAAATACAAAAAAAAGTAAAAACTTTGTATCCGACCGGAATCGAACTCGGACACCTGTGATTATTAATCTTGCGCTTTGGCCGTTTGACCACAATGCTTATGCCAATGAAATTGCGACCATATTTTGCGTGGAATAATGCGAAAGAAAACCACACGAAAACTCGAAAAAACGCGTTTTCCCAGACATAAGAATAATCTAGATCGATTATATTAATACTAACTTAATAGAACAAACCTTTCTTAATCATATTTGCGCATACAATAGATAAACTTTGTTAGTCGTATTTATTAAGTTTGGACGGTGCTTAATGCTTTTATATTAAATGTGCTAAATATATTTTCATAAACGATAACAATTTTGTTTAGCGAAACAGGTTTACTTTTTTTTAAGTTTATTTAAGCGATATTATTTAACTGAGTAGGTATATAAATATAAATTAATGTCGTTTGGCTGTCTGTTGTTGTCTCCAAAATTCTTCTCTATTTTCTAAAAACCGAATAGCTTCTTCCGCTTGCTTCAAAACGACGTCATTTTTCTTATCAGCAATTGCTAGATCGGGGTTCTTTAGCAAGTTTTCTAGGTAGATCTTATCTGACATGAGTTGACCCAGTACTGGTCGTGATGATTTTACTGTTTTAAGTTTTGCTGTTTTCTTAACTGGCTTCACTGCTCCAATTGTGTTTTCAATAGCCTCCTAGAATAAAAAAATAATTAAATTACTCAACTGAAAATAATTCTAAGACACAAAGTTCAAAGACTAATCCCGCCACGATCGCGGACACGCCGGCGTTACAGTTAACAATAGATTTCTTAGAAATTTAATTAATTTCTTAGTTTACCTGGAGGTGTTAAAATTATATAATAAGACAACTCACTACCTAATGCCTTTGTTAAGACTTTTTTAGAAATAAACGCTTACACAATTTTGAATACATAAATCTAAATATATCTTCATGTCGCTTAGGGGTATAGCAGGGGTAAGCACTTTTTTGGTATATTAGAAACTTTTTGGCGTAAAAAAGTAAACAGAGTTCGTTGTTAAAAAGCAAGCTACTTTTGAGCTTAATTTTAATTTGTCTTCAAGCCTTAAATTATTATGAGAAGATAACATATATATATATCATATTAATGTTATATTTTATAGAATATATATCACTTTACCTGTGCCTTTTGGACGCCAAGTCTGAATTCATTCAAATCTGGTCGCGCACGCAGTCCTCGATGGTAATGTACCAAGCTTAGTTCAAATTCGCCGCAATAGTACAATGCTTCCGCCTTCTGAAGTAATGCTTTAGCATGTTTTGGGTCGAGTTTGAGCGCTTCCTCAGCATCCCCTAAAGCCTTGCGGGGCTCACCGAGCAATAGGTAACACCTACTGCGAGCTACATAAGCTGCTTTCTCTTCTGGTGCTAGTTCGATAGCCTGTAACAAAAAATAACTTATATAAATATGTATATATAAGTACTATTTTTACGATATGTTCTCTCTTAGTCCGGCCTTCTCGTCTTTTCACATCGATGTTTAAAACTAAATAGTCCAAATATTGATTATATACTGAATTTCAATTTGGTGTCTTTCGTGTAGAGCCAATTTGCTACTCAATACACCACTCAATCATAATCATGTGTAATTAGAATATGAAGATACGAGTATAATCTATTACTACTTATAATAAATTAATAAAAAAAATGTCTGTCGTTTGGACCATAATCGATATATAAATATAAATGAATAACCAAAATGTTTCTACGCGCATAACTTCCGATCGATTGAACCAAATTGGTATTTTTTTTATGTTTGTTATTTATTTTTATATTGCCAGGACAAGTTTAGTATAGAAGAAATTAAAAGTTTTTTTTTTACTAAAATAAGATTTTTTTAAATCTCATGTTCCGATTTAAATGAAATTTGGTAAGAAGATAGTTTGAGACCCTGGAAAGGACTTAGGATACTTTTTATCCCGGAAATCATCCCTTAAGGGGGTAAAAATGGGGATCTAAGTTTGTATTGGGAAGCAAGCTAGAGACGAATCCGAGCGAAGCGAGGGTGAGTCGCTAGTAAATAATAAAACATTTATTACCTCTTTCAGTCAATTTACATTAAAGATTGGTTGTTTTACATTATTGCATTTTCACAAACGATAAGTATATCTTTAATATTACCAATATTTAATAAAGAATATCGTCTTCCCTTTGACTTCATTTATACCTTGTCAACAAACGACAAAGCTGTCCGATACCGCTCTCTCATCATCTCAGCTCGAGCTAAAGCAAGTAGAGTACCAGCATCTGCCTCCACCGGTATCTGCAGAGCATTACTTCTTTCTGCCTTATCCTTCATATTGAGGGAAAATTTTATGTCCTTATTTCCCATCACGACGGCGGCTGCCCTGTCTTTATCCGTGTATAATTCTTCTTCACGTCTACGTCTTTCACGCTTTGGCTTGCGACGAAACCTTCTTTTTTGAGGCTGGACTGATTCCTTCCTTCCTGTAGTTGAGAACTTTTCCTCTTCAAGGAAAGATTCTGCCGTTTCTGTCTTTTCTGCCTGCAACGGCGCTCTCTTACTAATAGAAGCTTTAGGAATAGGTAGTTCATCATCGTCATCTCCAACACCGACTCTTACAAAACTTTGAAGGAATTCCGCGTCTTTTGTTGGCCCGAGGATCGAACGCACTTGAGCTTTAGCGTTATCTTCACTTTCTAAATTTTTCAACACAGACATGTTGGATATGTTTAGAATGTGTGATTGTTATGTAACATATGAGGTGTTTGAAGAGGCATCGATATCGACGCCCGAGCCGCGGTTGTCATGGTGACTCAAAGTGTTTTCGCACCCTCTTACTGCCCTTCTTTACGTTAGTATAGCGTAGAAAACTTTTACAGTAGCACGCTTCTAACTAATCTTAAAGCTAACAACTTCAATTAAACAATTATTTCTAATATTTTATAAAAAGAAAAAAGTCATAGTATGCAATTTTCAGGCCTTATCTACCAGTATAAGTAACATAACTATACATATAATATAGCAGTAACTTTGCCAAATCAGAAATGTATTTTCCCGCGGTAAGAAGTATCTTATATATGTTGACCCGGATAACCAGCTTTAGGTCTTTCCGTGATGCGGTAACAGACAGACAGATAGACGAAAATTCTAAAAACTATTGATTTGGTCTCTGTATCGAAAATAATATTTTTTTAGTAAAATTTTCCAAAAAATATATAATGTACAGATTCGGCTTAGTTACAATTTTATTATATGTATAGACTAGCGACTCACCCTCGCTTCGCTCGGGTTCGTCCCTAAGTACGTTTTAAATTAAAATGGATATAGTATGTTATCCTTAAGACATAGACATATGCCATCGCGTACTTTTATGTAGACCTATATAAGATACATAATTCCACCATACTCTGTTTTGTTATATCTCAAAGGGTTTAGGCAGCGTTTTCATTAAAAGCTCCCAGACGGCTTATATTTGTCCTATACCTCCAACAAATATCGTTATATTTTAGCCAATGTATACAAAAACTTAACACATTATATAATTAAATCTTCCTCTTGAATCACTCTATCTATTAAAAAAACCGCATCAAAATCCGTTGCGTAGCTTTAAAGATCCAAGCATATATAGGGACAGACAGACAGCGGGAAGCGACTTTGTTGTATACTATGTAGTCATTAACTTGAAAACTTGTTTTGTTGTTCGTTTTGGTTCCATAAGGCCACAATCTCTAAGTTTTACAATATTTTGAGATTTACTGCAAAACTCAGACCAAAAACTTTTATCGAAAAATGATGATCCTCGGCAATGAAATACCAATAACTTTTTTGTTTTGTTGAATTTTGTTCTTTGTTTACTTTTTTTTAAATCTTCATTCATTGCAATATTTTTCAAGCCAATGGGCATCAAGGATGTAGTACTTTTTTTGAGTTTCTTACCTCAAAAGGTAAAAAAGGAACCCTTATAAATCACTCTCTTGTCTGTCTGTCGGTCTGTCCATCCATCTGTTCGTGTGTCACCACCGATTTTCTCAGAAACGAGTGGACCTAGCAAGTTGAAATTTTACCAGATACTGAGGTCTATAGTCCCTATTAGGTGTTTAAAAATCGAGGTCCTGAGTCAACACGATAAAAAGATATGGGCAAATTTGGATTTTCGCCAAAACTTGTAAGTACCAAATTTTATCTTAATTTTCAGCTTTTTTTATTTCGGACTTTTCCCTTCACTTATGCTGTAAGATCTACAACTACATGTAATAATTTAAATAAGGATAATATTTAAATTATGTTTAAATTATGACTTATTTTTTATTACTATTGGCAAACAATTATTTATTATTACGTATATGTATAAATATATAAAAAATATGTATAGTAAATATATTTTTAAGGCTTCTATGGTCTAGTTGTACAGGCGGTTGGACAAAAGCCACTACTATAGACTAAAACACAACGAAACCTTCCCCGTCTTAATCGGGCGTCGTAGAATCAGTTACGCATTTAACCATGATGTACCGACGGCTGTCAAACGAGGCTTCGCGTCCTCCATAAGACCGAGGTGGTTGCTTTGGTCCACTATGCTATTAGAGAAGTACCAGGAGCAACCTACCATCTCACAGTGCGTCTCTTCTTTTCACCCACAGCTGGATTGCCAGACGCTAATAAAATCCTCACGACAATATTAAAACATTTTGTTGTTCTTTGTAGCATACATATTTGTATAGATATTGTCGTCGTGGCATGCCCTTTGTGTTACTTACCTCTTAAAGTAGCAAGGCTTAAGAATTCCCAACGCAAAATGCAAAAAAAAAGCAGTCATGAGGACTGCCGACAGAAGTGAAAACTTAAAACTATAAACAAACAGTTGTTATTTTTGGATGTTCAAATTGTTTGATCTTAAATTAAAATTTGTAAATTAAAACTGTTTACATTTATCTAGTTTTGACATTTATCGGCACTCAACGTGTTAACACGTCACGTGACCATGTCGATGACGACTTACGTGAATTTACTCTCCATCCAAACCTGCCTATAGAAGTTTTTAGTTCAATAAGTATGGATAGAATAAGAAGTTACCTTATTTAGAGACATTAGTGCTCTTTCATAATTTCCACTCTTAAAGTGCCCGTTGGCCTCATCTCGAAATTTCTTCGCATCTATTGGATTGCTGGTCTGCAGCTCTGGCTCTTTGCCGCGGCCCATCTTGTTTAGTTACCTGAAATTATTTAGAAACCTATATCATACTCTCGTATTGTAAATGAAAATTTTAAATGTACCTATATTAATTTTTATCTTATAAAATAGCCAAGAGAATAAATATGAGTTTATTTTAAAATAGGTATAACAAACGAACGTTCGGTTTGTTTGTCATTCTCAAATATTTCTTTTATAAATTAGTAATATTGTTAATTGTATATTATATTTATCCTTTTTTCTTCTATAATTTAAGTTATACTACTCATAGCATATGTCATGATCAATTGTAATTAAAATCTATACATATAATAAAATTGTAACCAAGCCGAATCTGTACATTAGATATTTTTTGGAGAATCTTATTGAAATATACGTTATTATCGATACAGAGTCCGAATCTATAGTTTTTAGAATTTTTGCCTGTCGGTCTGTCTGTTACCGCATCACGGAAAAACCACTGGAGGGAGTTTGATGAAACTTGGCATGGTGATGATTGGTTATCCGGGTCAACATATAGGATACTTTTTACCGCGGGAAAATGTCTCATTTCCGAGAAAAAATACAAAAACTGCAATGTAAGAGTATACTAATATGTAAAACCTGAAATTTGGTTTTTGGTCATCTGAACGCGGGCGGAGCCGCGGGCAATGCTAGTTTACTATAAAACAATAAAATTTGTATTTTATTACGGTTGTTCTGAAGAACTTAACCATACATGATACATGTTAACTAGACATCGTAACTACGTATAAAGACTGCCTGCAGCAGTTAAAGAGGTCTCATAAATATAGTAAATAAGACTTATTGAATGCTCATTCTATTGTATACAGCAAGACATCGATTATGCTTGCTTGCCTAATAAAATTGATTGATGGTGCTGTTTTAACCTTTATGTCAAATATTTTACCAAAGAGGTAGAGTAATTTCAGCAAATATTTACATGGTCGACCCTTGATGGATAGTGCTGTGGCATAAGAAATAACCATATTTTAATAAATTTACCTATTTTTGTTTTTCATTCGTTTATGATCTGATAATTTTAAATGTTGTGCACAAACTGATAGTATTTCGTGAGTAAGAACAATTTCTCTTAAAGCTTATCGCGGGATCTGCTGACATTGGTAGTACAGTTTCCAGGGTTCTTTGGATCAATAATTTTACATAATTTTTGAATATTTACCTAAGAATACCGGCATTCAGTAATATTAAGCTTTTAAATGGCCCTATTATCTGTATAGTCCGCACGCCATTCAAATGTCATTTTTTCTATAAATAATGATAATTTATTACTCTTTATTCGTTTACATTGGCATAATCATATAATTATTATCTTTTGATCAACATTTTTTACTTATAATTCTATATATAGGGAACTTCGCACTAAAATACGTTTTAAGCAAACACATATTTTAGAGAGTTTAGGTATTAATTCACTTTAAATGTTTAAATTTTAATAGAAAATAAATAAGAATTTGCTGTTATGAAGTTATTAACAATAAAGTACATACATATAATAGTTATATTACCGTAGCAGCTTAATGTAGTTAGTTACGTCACGCTAATAAACAATTTGCGGGTAACGGGGGCCATAACTTTGGCATTGGCCCGAGCTTATTATAGGAAAATTATTCATGCAACCGATGAGTTTATGAAAAATCGTTGCAACTTTTTTAACATAATGCAGACTGAAATTGATGCATTCTTTGTTAGTTAGTATTTACGGTTTCCATAAAAACTAATAACATGGTTTCTTTTGCCCGTTTCTATGATTTTTATTCTATTGATTTAGAAATGTTTCACTTTAAATGATTTTTGTATAAGATTGCCATCCTATATTATTTTCACAACTTTTAACATTTTGTAATGATAATTATAGTGTTACTTTTTTATAATTCCAAATTTGCTTTTTTATTAAATATATTTTTATTTATTTATTTATTTATGTACAAAATGTTGACAAAGGATAACTTATCCCTTTAAGAGATTTCTTCCAGAAACCCTTCAGAAGTGAGAAAATAAGTTAATATAGTGCGGTGTAGGTACAGTACAGCAAAAAATATAATACGGATATGATAAAAATTTTGTTTAGAGAGTTATTATTTTATTATATTTTATAGTGTAAACCCAAGGTCAGGCTGCAGAATTTAAGTTTACCAGATTTATTGTAAATAAAAAAATCTTCCAATGTTTAATTTCTCATATTATGATAAGGTTAATAAATTATTTAACTTTATTACAAAAACTATTTGTAATTAATAAAATATTACCCCACTAAAGAGCGTATTTGTTTCATAGAACGATTAATCATATCATCATCGAAATGATAAAATATGGCCAATATTAGCTGATGTTATCGCTGGCTCTACGTAGAGCACGCGATCGTTCCGTGACTGACGACCACAAAAATAATGAAATTAGATATTTCGATGCTAAAACCTTTTATGACGTCCATATTGAGATAGACGTCGTTCAACTGGATATGAGTACTGATATAGTGATTTTAAGACTTCTCTATTATATTATAT